ATTCTCTTTAAAAAAACAATTAAGTCTATCTGAAGCTGTTAACACAAAGGCCATCAAACTGCCTCAGTGAAGATTACTCATGAGAATCAGAGCCAGGTAAGATAGTGCATGCCTATAATAATAGGAACTGAGGAGGCTGAGGCAGGAGGCTCAAGTTTGAGGCCAGCTCAGCAACTTATTGAGACCCTGTCTCAAATAAGGCTAGGGATGTGCCCCTGGGTTCAATCTCTAGTATTCTCCTCCCCCCCCCAAAAAAAACCCAAATGATTCATGCCTACTACCCAACTTGAACATGAACTTGCCAATTCTCAGCTGTACATTCCAAAAGAAATCTAATTTTCTATCTCAAACTCATAACTAAAATTTATTAAATAGCACTAATTCACCTATAATTGGCTTTGAATTTGCCATTATTAACCAAGTTAGGTGAATGAAGAGGAGGAGAAGGAGAGGAAAACATACTGACATAGGAAAATATACTCCAGTTACACATCTTTTCCTTTGAAGGGTAAAAATTTTATTTTTGAGGAATTCATACTGCACATTTTCAAAGAGAGTCACATAAGAAAGCAAAAATGTTATCCTCCCCTCATCCTAGAAATAAATAAGAAGGGCATAAAATTTCTTTTTAAATCATGACACTTGTAAGTTTAGCACCAGCATCCAAAATGAACAAAAAAGGAAAAAAAAGCATTTACTATATATTTCAGATTTCTTTGGTTGGGGTTCTCCCCATGTGGTATTAATATTTCTTCTTTCAATTCATATTACCAAAACAGTAAAAACCAGGAAAAAAATATAAACCTAGTGGTTGCTGAAACTGGGGAGGTTGCTCTCTCGTACTCTGTGCAGGCATTCCCGGAATGGCAGCTTGCTGGAAAAATATGCTGACATTTTCATTTCGCAGATGTTAGTTTCTCAAAGAATAACAGTAAACATTCTAATGTCCAAATCTTGGTTAGTCTTCCACTTTATTGCTTAGATGTTTCTTTGGTGTTGGTAAGGTCGTGGGTGTGCTTTTTGCTTTACTTTTGAATGGTCATTATTCTTTAGGTCACCTGGAAAACATTAAAATCAAACTTATAAAAGTGTCAAAAATGATCAAGTTATAATTCTATAAAAAGTTATAGAATTACTACCATGAGGCCTTAACAAATAGTTTAACATCCATAACTCTTCATATTATAATATTTTAGTGGCTGCAACATACCTCCTAATACATATCTACCATCATTAATTAGCCTTGTCCCCAATGTCATAGTAGAAAGTTGTTTCCTGCCACATTTTAGATTATTTCTTTAGGAACAATGTCTACAAATAATACTATTCAGTAAAAGGCTAAAGCCATTTCAAAACAGTTGATAAATAAAATAAAGGTCTATCAGCAACTAAAAAAGAATTAAAAAAAAAAAAAAGCAAGTGACCTTAAAGAAGGAATTTATAAAAACCCCATAATTTTATTTATAAAATTTTAACAATGTCTTAATAAATAACATCAGGTTTCATTATATCCCTTTTAACTAAAAACTAATGAAAAGGGCAACAAGCAAGAAATATATAAAACTCCAGGTGACAAACATCACAGACATCACTAAAGCAGAGGATCCATAAGCCACTCAAAATTCAAGATCTCCTAGCAAACTCGGGCTGCAAAACAGTATGTGCTGGATATGTAAACCCTTTGGATGTTACAAAATATACTGTACTGCCTCAAAATAAATAATGGTTACCAAAGGAAAAAAAAAGAAAAAAACCAAGCCATGTCAGGGGCTTGAAAATTATCAAATTGGCCCCTAAGTGCCACGGAATCAGTTTTCTTAAAGAGGTATTAACAGTTAAAAGCTGTCTAGAAAAAAGTTGAATATCAACTGTCTCCATGTATACACCCCCAAAACTTATCCAAATAAGGTCAATCCCAGAGATAGTGAACCACCAAAACAATTTTCCCCAGAATCCCAATGGAGACAGGGGTTGGCACAGATGAATCACAGAACTAGTTTAAATTTCTGCTACTACTGAGAAATCAGTGCTATTTAAAAGAAAATACCAACTCAAGACTGGGCCGCCCATGCTCTTACCCTGCTGGTGGTGAAGGTGCCTGGGGAGCTGGGTGTCACTCAGCACTGCTCTGCTCGGTGGCTGGAGCAGGGTTCTCAGTTGGTGCTTCACCTGCCTTGGTCTAAAACACAAAACAAACTGTAAACTAAAATGAATCCACCCTGATGCTATGGGAAGTTTAAAGGGTCCTGGCACATTTAAGAAAATAACCATGCAAAATTTAACTATTCATATGTACGTGAGCCAAAAGATTAGTACTAGAGAAGGGTGGCTTTCAACTGGCCATTAAGCACCACTAGTGCTCCATAATATCTACTGTGTACATACAACTGCTTTCAACTCATGCTTAAAGGCAGCTTCCCTTAACATGAGAGCCCCATTCTTACATGCTAAAGTTTGACATAATTAATTAACAATGATGCAGCAATATCCCTGATGGGCTGGCTTTTACCTCTTTGCCATCTTGTGAAGGAGCATTTGGAGGACGGGGGCGACGCCGATAGTTGTAGGGACGCCGGTATCCACGGCGAGCAGATGGCTGGTTTGGACCATTGGCTGCTTGTTGATTCTCTTTATCTTCAGCCTCTCCAACAGCTGGGGCAGGTCGTGGGCGAGGAGGTCCCCTAGAGCAGGAATACAAAGCAAAAGGAACAAGTGCCACAAGACAGGGATTCTCAAGAACATAGGGCTTATTGTTAAAGGTAGAAAGTGAAGTGATTAGTACTTACTGCTAGAATCATTCACAGGCCAATATAGCAAATGGAACAAAATTGTAGTTAAGAAAAAATAAACAACTTATTTCTCCAATATTTTCCTCTTTCATTTGAATAAATGTTTGAGTGAACAAACATACACTGAATTTCTACTATGATTCTATCGGGTACATTTGATAGGCACTAAGGATAGGAAAATGGAAAAAGAGGAGGGATCTGATCAGTCCTTCATGCATAGTCTAGTGGGAACTAAGGAGATTAAACACAGGCAGAAAACATTACTGTCTGCCAAAGCCTGTGCTAGTATATTTTCACATTGAATATTTAATTTCAATGTTAATTCTGTGAGCTAAATTTATAATTAGAAAACCCACAGGTGAAGAGATAAGTATTTGCTTGAACCATTTGGAAGTGCTGCTGCTTTTATTATAGACCAAAAAAGGCCAAACATGACTTTCCCCAAGATCAGGCAGTTAGGGATTACTCTAGCTGGGACACTATACACTATGAAGAGACTTTTTGAAACTTTTTAGTATTATGATTATGCCTAAAACTGTAATCTTTTGAGGAAGGAGACATAGCCTAGTATAAATTAATTCTTTCCCAATATAATATACTTGTTCTTTTTTGGGGGGAGCGGGGGGAGAGGGGGCGGTGCCAGGGATTGAATCAAAGGGTACTTAACCACTAAGCCACATCCCAGCTCTTGTTGCTTACAGCCTCACTAAATCACTAAGGCCGGCTTTGAACCTGAAATTCTTTTGCCTCAGCCTCCTAAGCCACTGTGATTATAAATATAAACCACCATGTCCGGCACTTACTTTTCTTTCACTAAATAAATCCTTACCAACAAACTTCAAGGTACAAATTGAGTACCCCTAATCCCAAAATCCCAAACTCAAAACTTATCGAGTGCTGAAACAACACTCAGACTTTGGAACATTTCAGATTTTCAGATTATCGATGTTCGAACTTGTAAAGTTTCCAAATAGTCCAAAATCTGAAAACTATGAAATTGGAAACACTTCTAGTACAAATAACAGTCCTTCACTAATATTAATACTTGTGCTCGCTTCGGCAGCACATATACTAATATTAATACTAGTAATAATATCCTTTATTTGTTGAGAGTACCATACTAATTTTCATAGATGAAACAGTACATTTAATCTTACTTGCCACTGTACAATTCTTAATATGCAAATTACAGATCTGGTAGCAACAAATTAACAGAGTCCAGGAACTTGCTCAATGACATACAACTACTAAATAAAACAATGCAATTTAAGTTTAGGCAATGATCCACAGCCCAATTTAATCCCACCAGAAATACTCTAACACTCAATTCTTTTTCACTTGTAACACTACCATTGACTTGCTCACCAATTAATTTCTGTTTCTCATTTAACTTAATTTCTTTAAGTATTAATTTATATCCCATGAAAGTTGCAGAATACAAATAGTGGTTTGGTACAGGGATAACTAAACATTCTAGGTATTCAGAAGAGGAAAATTTCACATCACCATAGGAAAACACATGACTGAGTCAAACAACTCAGGCATGTGTTCAAAACAGCCACATCTTCCAAATATGTAATTAATCCACAGA